GTTATATATGCGAGCACATGGTGAAATAGTAATCCCCTCTGCGCTGTAAATGATCAGATGTCGCAACTTGTTGTGGCCATATAGCGATCTTCTAATGTACAGGTGGTCTTGTGATTGCCACCCTGGTATAGTTACTGCGGAGGTAAGAACCTTTAAGTGAATGCATTACATGGTGAACAGGATGTAGAGGAGAGCTGGAGGATGTGGCTTCGAGGGCGATCGTCGATCACAACTAACCGAATTGAGTTCAGGACAACATGATGAGGGTCTCGCCATGAAGTTATCTACCGCTTAGTGAGCGTAGTTGATGCGTCGTAGCGAATAGTATTGCTAACCCCAATGGGACTGTAACACAACTACAATCCCCCTCCACCACCAGGATCATCAACGACTATGACGTATATGCACTTCTTAGCTCTCAGAAAGATCATCTGCACAAATCGCGGCTCGAGGACCTCATCCACAACCCATCGGACCTTCCGTTGTATTCATAACGCCGTCCATTTCACTAGCGTTAGCCGACACGTCGTCAAACCCGAGTAGATCTCTGATAGCCCGAGAGGCATGCCGCTAGTTGCCTACTGCTACTGGAGGTTACCTTACGAACACCACGGGATCAACGACATCCTCTAAGACGCTTTCAATGGTGGCGTTCTCGTCATGCACGAGGGACTTCAAGCACTGTTCGAACTCCTCGTAGGTGAGCCGTTCGTCTGGATCTGTATCATCTCCCGAGGGCCCCTGAATATCGTATGAAGAGACCGGATACAGTACAAGGGCTCGCCTCGATTTCGGCCCCTTGCGCATTGGTCCTCAGTAGCCTCTGTAAGAGCACATCTAGAGGGATCTTGTCTATCCCCTGACACGTTTGCGTGATCATACAAGTGCGCTAAAGGAGCCCACCGTCTCTTCCTTCCTTATCAACGCCAGTAGAGCATCGACGACATCCCTTCCCTCAGTGCTGAAGTCGGTCTGTGGTTCACGTATAACCTCACCTAATAAGCAATCCGGTATCAACATCTAGTCGGAGAACTTCGTGAACGGATGTAGCATTCTGAGTGACTCATGCAGTTCCTTTGGACATTGGTGATAGAGACA